TGGTGAGTTGTCTTCCTTTCGAGTCATCGATTTAGAGTAGCTTGACCGTTTCTTCATTATCAGTTTCCGAGTATAACTCTTCTTTCCTTGAGTTTCCATGCATCCCGGAGGCCTTCGTATATTCCGCAAAGTTCTACTTCAAGTATTAAGCAAGGACCAATGTTTTTTCTTAAAGCCCCACTTCAAACTACCATTGTTGTCTCAGATCACTCCGCCGCAAGTTGCTTTCTTTGCTTCCACGTAGATATTTTTTGTGATTGATTTTATCGTATTTAATATACTTTATTAAGTTTTGGGTAAATTACGCTTTTAGTACCTAAACTATTAGTTTTGATCCGTTTTAGTACCTAAACTTTCAATTTTTTCAAAATCATACCTAACGTTTAGTTTTTGTTTCGTTTTAATACCTCGCCATTAAAAACTTACCGGTGATTTGCATGTGGCATTTTTTATGGGTAAATTGCATCATCCATCACTCGACTATCTTCTAACTCCTATTTTGGTCACTAAAGTTAATTTTTTTTAATTTAATTAGTTAACTTTCAAATTACTCTTAATTTAATCACTCTAAATTTCAAATTTATTTTTTATTTTTAATTATATATTAATAAATAATAAAAAATATCATGTCACAAAAATTATTAATAAAATAAATTAGAGTGATTAAAATAGGAGCAATTTGAAAATTGAGTAGTTAAATTTAAAACTTTAAACCAAAATAGAAGTGAGAAGATAGTTGAGTGATGAATGATGTAATTGACTCATAAAAATGGAAAGTCATTAAGTTTTTAATGTAGAGGTACTAAGATGAAACAAAAACTAAATGTTAGGTATGATTTTGAAAAAATTAAAAGTTTAAGTACTAAAACGAATCAAAACTTATAATTTAGATACTAAATACGTAATTTACCCTATACTAAATAATATTAATATTAAATTATTTTAAATTTAATTTTATATATTTAATATTGATATTAATATTAAATATATTATTTTTATAATCATATAATTTTTTACCTATAATAATTTTTCAAATTTCATTTAAGTGTAACCATCCAAAACAACAATACAACACCAAGAGCTATATGAAACAAATAAATTGAGGGTAAACTATCTATTTGGTCACCTACCTATTACTTCATTTTAATTTTGGTCATCCATTTTTTTTTAAAATCACATCTAAAGTTATATTTTAGTTACCCATCGTTAAAAAATTAATGATGATGTTGACGTGATATTTTTAATTATTTTTTAATACTGACATGATATTACCTTGTACTAACAAATCAACATCAACATTAATTTTTTTAACGTCATATGACCAAAATAGAATCAAAATGTAACGTTAAGTATGATTTTGAAAGAAATAATTGTTAGATGACTAAAACACAAACTAAATATTAGGTGGGTGACCAAATAAACAATTTAACTTTGAATTAAATTCAACTTAGAATTATTTTTCATCTCATAGACATTCGTTTTCGTCCCGACATTAATATTATCATTATTATTATTATTATTATTATTATTATTTATTTACAGGCTACAAAACTCAACCGACCTAACAAACATGGGCCCAAATTACATCAGCAGGCCCAATGAACTATCCAAACCCTAAGCCCACTAAGATTAGGGTTTGTTAAAACCCTAATTTTCCACCCTAATTCCAGTTACAGCCGCTGCCACGAGTAGGTGAAAAGTCGCACTGTCGCCATTGTTCCAGCATGTTCCCAATGATCTGACCGCCACACCGTCATCTATAGTAGCAAATCAATAAAAAAATCAACCAAAAGTCATCATCAACAGTAAAACCATACCGAACATGTTGAAAAATCAGATTTTTTGTCAGACTAGGATCCGATTTTTAATGTTTTTGCAGAGAAATCATTTCCCTATGGATTTTAGTCACACCAAACACGCAAATCAGAGACTAAAAAGGGAGATAAAAGAAGAAAATCAGAGGGGGAAAGACATTCGGGATTTGGTTTTCGAAACAAAAAAAAAAACAACAACGAAAAAATAGAAAAAAAAAGAAGAAAAGAAGAGAGTTTTACCTCAAGATTAAGGGTCTTCACCGGTAACGAGGGAGTTGGCCGAACGTTTAAGGTGGCCCATTTGTTTTGGGTTTTGTTTTGTTGAGTTTTAAGGTTCATTGTTTTGGTTTAAGAAAAAAGGGATTTATGGGTGGTGTTTGGTGTATCTCCGAAGAGGATTAACCCCTCATCGGGGTGTCGTGTGGTGGTGGTCGCGGTGGTTCGCGGTCACCGATTAGTTTTCAACTTAAAAAAATGAAAGGGTTGAGAGAAAATAGGGGAGGGGTGCGACTGAAGAGAAAAAAAAATAAAAGAGAAGTTTAGCCAAAATCCTATAATAGGATATTTATAGGGGCTCAAAACAACATAGTCTTAGAGGATTAAAGCTCCAAGTGATCAGCGCATGGGCAAACTACGTGAAGGGGTCTCTGGTTTTAGGAGTTTGCATTGTAGTATTGGATTAAAACTTTCCTAGGTTTATGATTTTGGCCTCTTTTATTTACGTGTGTTCATTTTGGTCACTTTAAGTTATGTATTTTTTATTATTTCGATTTCCAACATGTAATATTAGATATTTACATTTCGGTCCTAAATATATGGGTTTATTACATTTTCAGTGTTTGTAATATGTTATTTTTACATTATGTGCTGTGTTATTTATTTAATTTCTTTTTGAGACATTAACTTTTTAGTTTTATTATTTAGTCCCATTTTGCTTGTTATCTTATTTTTAGGAATATTTTAATTTGAACGTCTTACTTTAAATATGTCCATTTTGGTCTTGAATGATAGAAGTTGGTCTATTTACGAATGTAGTGCCTAGTTTGTGAAATATTTGCAATGGTTGCCTTGATTTCTTGTTGGTTTTATGATTTAATCCCTAAAGTCACAATCTTTATTATTTTGATCCATCATTTACATTTTTGTTAATTTCTTGCTAATTGTAATATTTTCAAATATTATTTTGCACGAAGAATTTATAGAAATGCACCTTAACTGACAAAGAGTGTGTTTCCAATAATTGCTCGAACAAAATAATACCTTTTATATTCAAATGAATTTGTTTTATATATATCTAATATATGTATTTTATCTAAAAATTAGGGTAATATTATTTTATATGAGGAATCCATGAAAAATGCCCCCTTAACTAACTAGGAAGGTATTTTCGAGGATTGTTCGTACAAAATAATATCCCTTATATTTTTTCTAAAAAGGATCATAATTTAAATGTATATTCGAATTTGTCGATTTCAATATTAGATGACGTATAATCGTTTAGATGCCGATTTCGGGCGTTGTGGGGTTCTAATGCTTCCCCAAACGTAATCAACTTCTAAACCCTTTTTCAAAACAAAATTCTAGTTGAATGCAGATCATATTTTTATCTTTTAAAATTATTTTTCTTAAAATTATTTTAAAAGATATTTTTAGGTATTCGACCTATCTAACCCAAAGGTCGATGGTGACTCCAAATCTATTTATTTATTTTTATTTTAAAACTCAACCTTTTCCAATATTAAGTTGGATCGCTCCCCGAAATAACACCAAAAAATTTAAGGACCGTTTTGACACATCTATCATTCGATGATGAATTTATGATCACATAACCCTAACTTATAAAACCTTTATCTTTTTCCCTTCATCTCCTCACAACAATAAAAGCTAAACTAATTTCAAACTAAAAGTGTAGTTTCGATCACAGAGAATTAGAACTATATAAGAAATTTAATTAATGGAAACCGACAAAAAATTGAAGGAAACTTTTAAATGCTTATACAATTAAATTTTGGGTAAACTATGCATTTAGTACCTAAACTATTAGTTTTGATATATTTTAGTACCTAAACTTTCAATTTTTTTCAAAACCATATCAAAAGTTTAGTTTTTGTTCCATTTTAGTACCCCTCCATTAAGTTTTGGAAAAAAATGAAAGTCTAGGTACCAAAACATGTTTAGTACCTAAATCATACTTAAGTTTTGAAAAAAATTAAAAAATTAAGGTACTAAAATGGATCAAAACTGAGAGTTTAGGTACTAAACGCGTTAAGTTTTTAACGACGGGGTATTAAAATGAAATAAAAAGTAAGCTTTAGGTATGGTTTTGAAAAAACTGAAAGTTTAAGTATTAAAACGGATGAAAACTGATAGGTTAAGTACTAAATGTGTAAATTACCCTTAAATTATGTATATATTGATGATATATTTCTATCTCTTAAAATTTTATAAGTTTGATCCTATCAAAAAAATTACATCGATCTTACAGGATGGAGCTTTTCTGAAACGAGCATATTCAGTCTTGGTCACTTTGGTCCAAAAACTAGCGCTAGTTATTCATATATTTTTTGGTAAATCATATAGGGGTTTGATCTATTATTGATTGACTAATTCAAATCAAATATTACATATGTCTACTATGGAGACATCCTCCCAATTCAGTTGAGCCATTCACAATATTAGGATTTGAACCTCTAACCATACTCAAGGAATATAATATATCATCCCATTATACCAATTACTTATTAGTTACTATCATTGGTGTTCGATTTATTACTTAATATCCACCATTTTATAGTTAATTTATATGATTGCTTTTATCTTCTTATGGGAGATGAGGTCGGTACCACATCAACCAACCGTTTTATTAGTTAAAACTTCAAACTTTATTTCATACACAGCTCATCACATGTCTTCCAATCAAATTTATAAGCCAATGAAGTCTTGTTTTGATGCAAGAAAATGGGGAAAGAAAGTTTTGGGTACACGTTGCATGTGATATGAATGGTATTTATGAAAGCACATAAAAAAGTGGGATGACTAGGAAATGTTGCATGTTCCAACTTGAATTTAACTTTCCATACGCATATAGTTGATGGTTCGTTGAGAGTATTAACTGTTCTTCACCTACACATCGCCCAACCCATAAATACCCACGCATTCCCTTCCTTCTTCATCTGCTCCTTTTTATTCTCTGTTTTTTTACCAAGAAAAAGAAACCAAATCTTTCCTTCTTTGTTCGAAAAACAAGAAAATGTCTGGTTTCATTTTGTTGGTAACAGGTTGGCCTGGACCCAGCGGCTTCGGTTCAGCTTCTACTGCTGAAGAGGTTACTCAAGGCATCGATGGAACCAACCTCACTGCTATAATAACCGGTAGGCTATCACGTTTTCTCTCACACTTCGTTTATATACTGTATATATAATTTTTTTATGACATTGTACAAGTTGTCCGAGACTTTCGGATTGACTCATTTGTTTATATATGTAATGTTTCGAGTTTCAACATAACCATGTTCTTCGCTCGTCTTTTCTGCATTATTCTGCGACGTTTTGATTCTTTTGAGGTGGTAAATTGCAGGCGGAGCAAGTGGAATTGGGTTGGAGACTTCAAGAGTATTGGCTCTTCGTGGTGTTCATGTCATCATCGGTGCGAGGAACTTGAAAGCTGCTAATGAAGAAAAAAAAATCATTCTTGCAAAAACCGAAACCGCACGAGTTGATGTCTTGGAGCTCAATCTGTGCTCCATTAAATCCATCAGAGAATTTGCAGACAACTTCATCGCTCTTAATCTTCCTCTCAATATCTTGATGTAATTTCAAGCACCCTAATTAAACGACCATTCTTTTTAAGGAATCAATAACAAGTGTTTTACAACGTTGTCTGTCTCAGTAACAATGCCGGGATCATGTTCTGTCCCTTTCATCTTTCTCAAGATGGAATCGAGGTTCAGTTTGCAACTAATCATATTGGTAAGTTCAAAGAAATTAGCAGTATTTCTTCTATTTTCTTTTAGTTCAAGACTAATCTTTGTTGCTGTATTTTCCCCAGGGCATTTCCTCTTAACCGAGCTTCTTTTAGACAAAATGAAGAACACAGTGAAAGCTAGTGGTGTTCAAGGAAGGATTGTGAACTTATCATCAATAGCACACACCTATTGTTATGAAAATGGGATCCAATTTGATCGGATAAATGCTAAAGAAGGGTACTTATTGTTTGATTTGAGATCTATTATATGATTTTCTGCTAAAATTGTGTTTTATTTGTTTTTCCTTTTCAGTTACAATGACAAAAGAGCATATGGACAGTCCAAATTAGCAAATATATTGCATGCCAATGAACTCTCTCGCCGATTGCAGGTAAAATTCTCGATCTATGTGATTTGCCTTACCTTGTAAGGCAAGTAATCTTTGCTTCATGTGACGAACCAGTCAATTGTGCTAACCTAAATTTAGATCATATAGTTCCCGTGTTGGAGTTATTATTACTAGGGTGTAATCAACTCAGGTCGAGTTGTTTTTATGTGAACTTCGATCACGGGCTAAAAAGGTCCTGATGATGATGGATCAATTGCTTGATATACTTGATATAAATGTACCATAAATTTGCCTACAAAAGTAGCTGTAACATCGTTTTGGCTTTTAAATGATGTGTAGGAGGAAGGTGTGAACATCACAGTAAATTCAGTTCATCCAGGATTGATAATGACGCCTCTGTTTAAGCACGTTGCCATTCTAATGAGTACTGATTTTCACATTCCGAATTCCATTCATAAACCTTGTTTTTCTTTTCACCATTTATTTCCTAATTTGCATGTTTATGTTGCAGAGTTTTTCAAGTTCTTCAGTTTCTTCCTATGGAAGAATGTTCCACAGGTAAAATCCGGATTTTTTTCTCAAGTTTAAGATCGAAATTAACCTTTCAAAACCGTGTTTAGGGTGCAGCTACGACGTGCTACGTGGCCCTCCACCCACGGCTGGAGGGAGTCACCGGGAAGTACTTTGTAGACTGCAATGAGATGACACCAAGTTCATATGCTAGAGATGAGGCTTTGGCAAGGGAATTATGGGAATTCAGCCACAAATTGATAAACTCAGTTTCAAAATGAAAACTAGTACCGATTACATAAAGATAAAAGATGCCTACGGTCGTGTTCTTTGGTTACTTACTAGAAAGTTGAAACAGTTGCATTGCTACAGAATTCTCTTTATTATATTGAAACATCGATCTTGGAAGATGTCATTACTTTTCGTTTATAGGATAAAGTTAACCAATCACAAACAAAAGTTCAACCACAAATGGCACCTTGAAAGAAGCGTTGAATCTACCTTTAGCTGGCTGAAATATTCAATATGTGATTACGGGTTTAGAAGTCCATAACTGCAGGTTGCACCAGAGAAAATCGATCAAGGTAATGAAAAATTTTAGACTCTGCATATAGGACGACTCGTATAAACAGATAGAAGTTCGTACCATGTAATACTTAGACAGTAGAGCCAGCAAAGCACTGAGCTGTGTATTAAATACCGCATCGCCGATACCCAGTCGGAATCGTCATGAGATATAACCAGCAGTAAGTAGGATAGAGAGTGAATGTAGCTGGAAGTTAAATGTAGAAAGCATTATGTGACTGCATTGTTCTACCTGCATTATATGGCAGTAGATTCACCAAGTGATTAAATGAGCAGTGATTAGCATGTAGGCTTCAAATTTGCAGCTATGAACAACCAATAACCAGTAGTTCCCAGAACCAGAGCATTCTTAGACCCTATTACTCGAACCGCCAATGATGCAAACAATGAGAAAACCGCAAAAGACACGTACGGTATCCCAAGCGTCACCATTCCCAAGTTCCCTTGCTGAAACCCAAAGAAAAGATCAAACTTTTCGATTTAATGATTCTGCAAAACTATGAAATCTTCAAAAAAAGATTTGGGAGTTTCAAATAGCAGTCAGTCTTCTCCTTAACCAAACAGCTGGAGGAAAATTTACAGTCAATGAATAAGAATGGAAAGCAGTAGAAGAAACTCACAGCACTAACAGTAGTCTTCAAATTCTGTGCAGCTCCATAAGCGAGGAAGACCAGCAAGAAGGCACAGCTCAAAATATGAACATCCCTTGTTCAGTTTTTAGGAATTTCTTTTGCCGAAACATCATCAACAAGTGGCTCCACCTCTTCTCGAGTACCCACCGATTCGATTGCCTATATGACTTCTAACATTCTCGAGTCGATCTTTTTTTTAAGTTTAATGAACGAATTGGATGAGACTATAGTAACAAGATAAAAGTCTAATGAAGGGGTGTTAGGTTTTGGATTCTCTGTAGATTTTCTTCATAGCTATACTTGTTCTATGAATCTATGGAAGAATGATCGATCATGGTTTATGTATTTGTTTTTGTAATACAATTCCTGGGATTGTATCAAGTTCAAGAAGAAATGGTAAATATTAGTGTATCTGCAGATAAAATAGACATGCTGGTTGAATACAATAATGAATCACTGCCTGAAAACATGGAAGGTGGAAGATGATCTCATCCTCACGCTAGAAAAAGAACAAAAAACAGTAGAATAATTTTCTTAAATTCAGAGTCCAAGCATTTCATCTTCCCACAAAATTGTGAATAATTTCATGTTCATTAACAACAGGATAGGATCTTACATACTCTATATGAACATTGAACGCCAACTTCATATAATGTAACATTGAAGCTTCTTCTTTGCAACGTTTAGCTGAGAGCAGTAACTAGCTTCATCTTGACCAGTAAGATTTCTTCTGTTGTCCAGGATGTTCCCGAGGGTAGCTAAGGCATCTTGAAATTTACGGATTCTAATAAACCTCTTATCATGGAAACCTCACTGTCTGAACAGTTGGTTTTCTCGATCACCATATTAACCAACTTAATTAAGGTATCCTCCATAGATAATGCACACAGTCCTTCGGCCAGCATATAGAATGATGAGAATTCGGGTATAAATCCTTTCTCGATCATCTCAACTACGAAATCAACTATTATGAACCGAGAAGAAAAGAAAAGGAAAATTCGAAGGAAGGAAGGAAGGTTTTTAGAAGAAGAAAAGCAGAGAGATTACAAAATTAAGATTTTCATTCATTCATCAGATAGATTCTTCTTCCCTAGTACACGGTTTTATTTGCATTACAATGTACTATGGCAAATAAGAAAAGGACAGCTGTATAACTAACTCTCTAACAGACTCCTTGCATATAAGCTAGATATTTTCCTCCTTTGGGCAGTTGACTGGATTCCCGCCTGAGCCCATCTCCTCAGCAGCCCAACTCATCTTCTGGTCCATCTTCAGGTAATTTCCTCTAGTATTCTCACTAGGAATTGAAATCCCTAATTCCATGATCCCTTTCTTTCAATCCCTAATTCCTCATCCATTTCCCCTAATTCTCTCGCTTCAATTCTAATCTCCCCATCTTGTTCTTCTCTTTCATTCGTGACAATACCCCTCCATTAGCAGATCCTTGTCCCCAATGATCAAAATCAGGAAACTGGGCGCGCAAGACTGTATAATCTTCCAATGTATCGTTTTCAGAACTCAAATTCATCCATTGAACCAATAATTGAGTAACAACACAGTTATCTCGTTTTACAATTCTTTTGCCTAAAATCTTCTCAGGAAATACTTTCAGTTGGCCATCATCTATTACTTGAGGAGGTTCTGATGAAGCTACTGTCTTTTCTCTAAGTTTTCACTTCAGGAGGCTGACATGGAAAACATGATGGATACGAGCAGTCTCTGGTAAGTCTAATTTATAAGCAACCTCACCAATCTTTTCCAGAATCTTGTAAGGACCATAAAATGGGCTGCTAACTTCAAGTTTTTTCTGATTGCTAGGGAAGTCTACCGATATGGTTGTAGTTTTAGGTACACCTCTTCTCCCACATTAAATGTCCTTTCATTACTATTTTTGTCAGTTTGATGTTTCATACGATTTTTTGCTTGCTGTAATTGATCGCGGACAATTTGTCTAAGCTTCTCTCTATCTTGTAGTAATGTCTAAACATTGTTTACATTAGATTCAGAACACCATAACATTATAGAAGGTTTGTATCCATATAGTGCTTCAAAAGGGGTAATTTTAAATGATGTGTATTGTACCACCATTCAGCATGAGGTAACCATCTTGCCCATTGTGTAGGTTTTAGAAAACACAAACCTCTTAAGTACTTCTTAAGGCATTGATTCACTCGCTCAGTTTGACCTTCCGTCTCAGGATGGTAGGCTGTGCTATAGAGTGTGTTGGTTCCCAATTGCTTCATTAGTTCTTTCAGAAAAGGCTAATGAAGGTATTGTCTCGATCTGAAATGGCCATCTTAGGCTGACTATGAAGCTTATATACCTGATCTAAATATAATTTAGCCACTTTCATCATAATATAGGGATGAGAAAGTGCTAAAAATGAGCATATTTAGCCAGTTTATCCACTACCACTAAAATGCAATTCTTATGCAAAGAAATAGGTAAACCTCTAATAAAATCATAGTTATCACCTCCCATGCTTGTTGAGGAATTGGAATTGGTTGTAGCAGCCCAGTTTAGCCACATGCTCCACCTTAGTGCATTGGCAGACATCACATTGTTGTACATAATTAGAGACCATCTTTTTAAGTTTAGGCCAGTAAAAATAAGCTTTCACCCGCTGATATGTATCTTGAATACCCGAATGCCCTCCATGTGGAGAGTCATATAAAATTTATAGGATCTTAAATCGTAAAGCACCTGTCTCTCCCACATAAACTCCATCCTTGTAACACAAAACACCTTTTGAAAACTTCCAATTTAGAGCACTAGCAATGTTAATAGTTACTGCTCGAATATATTCTTTAGCTGCAACATCATTTTCATAGTTTTGTTCAATGTCCTTAACCCAAGTTGGGATGATAATCATGGCACTCATATGTTTACACTCACCTATCTGCACAAATTGTCTTGACAAAGCGTTTGCCACAACATTAGTACGCCCTTTCCTGTATTGAATTGTGTAGTCTAAACCCAATAATTTGGTAAATCCCTTCTTCTGAATTGTTGTTGTGAGTTTCTGTTCTAACAAATACTTCAAAGGTTCATGGTCTGTTTTAATGATAAATGGACCACATTCAAGATAATGTCGCCATTTCGAATCTGCCAAAAGAATGGCCAGATATTCATTCTCATAGATAGAAAGGTCCATGTTTTTAGGGCTTAAAGCTTTACTAAGGTAGGCCAAAGGACGACCTCCTTGGGATAAAATAACCCCTATACCCTCTAAGCTCGCATTAGTTTCTAAACAAAACTCTTTAGTGAAATCAGGAAGAGCCAAAACTGGAGCCTTACACATTACTTCCTTCAATTGATTAAAGGCTATCAATGTTGTAGGAGTCCATTTAAAACCTTATTTTTTTTAACATCATTGTAAGTGGACGACTAATTGCACCATAACCTTTGATGATCCTTCTATAATAGCATGTTAACCCCAAGAATCCCCGAAGAGATTTTAAATTTTGAGGAAGTGGCCAATTTTTCATGGCAACAATTTTTGATGGATCAGTGGAAACCCATTGAGCATTAATAATGTGGCCTAAATATTCCATTTGTGGCTATCCAAAGTAGCATTTACTCCTCTTAGCATAAAGCTGATGTTGTGTCAGTATTTCTAAAACTTTTCTCAAGTGTAGTGCATGAGCAGACAATGTAGTGTTGTACACTAATATATCATCAAAAAATACCATAACAAAATTTCTCAAATAGAGAGTGAACAAACCATTATAAGAGATTGAAACGTAGCAGAGGCATTTGTAAGACCAAAGGGCATTAACTTAAATTCAAAATTTTCATGATGAGTGCGAAAGGCAGTTTTGTAGATGTCTCTAAGCTGAATTTGAATCTGCCAATTGCCAGACCTTAAGTCTAATTTAGAAAAATAGGTTGCTCCATGTAATTCATCTAATAAGTCCTCCACCACTGGTATTGGAAATTTATTCTTCACTGTTTGATTGTTTAGCTGCCTATAATCTACATAAAATCACCAAGAAGCATCCTTTTTCTTAACCAGTAAGCAAGGTGAGGAAAAAGGTCTTTTGCTTGCTTGAATGATAGAGGCTGCTAACATGTCAGAAATTTGTCTTTCCACCTCTACTTTTTGATGTTGTAAAAATCTATAAGGCCGCAAATTGATCGGAGCCGCACCCGGTTTAAGTGTAATTGTATGGTCATGTACTCTTTCAGGAGGTAATCCTGTAGGTTCCTCAAAAACTCCTGCAAATTCTGCTAACAGTGGTTGTAACTCATTAGGTACATGCTTCTCATCAATTTCCATAGTTAGCAAATAAATTTCCCCCAATAAATCTGGATCCTTAGCAGTGATCTTTTGCATTTTGTCATTAGAGATTGTTTTCATAAGGAAGGGTGTTTGATGACCTAAATAGATAATTGTTGTCCCTCATTCTCAAAAGTAATAGTTATGGAATTAAAATCCATAAGGATTGGGCTATATTTGTGCATCCAATCGACTCCAAGGACCATATCACTGCCTCTTAGATTGAGTACCGGAAATCATGAAAAAACTGATGGCCTTGCATAATCCAATATAACTGATTGATTTTAGCTGAACCAAATAATTTCTCACCATTAGCAACTGTAATGGCTAGTGGTTGAGTTGAAACTAACCAGTACCATCTTTAGCCCATTTAGGAGTGATAAAGTTGTGTGTGTTGCCACTGTTAATAAGAATATTGAGAGGTTTACCCTTGACCAAGCCTTGAATTCAAATTGTAGTATACCCGATGCTACCTGTGAGAGCATTGACTGAAATTTCAGATTCTCATATTTATCATTTGAATCCCCCAAAACTTCTTCTGTTATGATTGTTTCTTCCTAGTTATCCAATTCCTCAATAGCATTCAGTTGTCTTAACTTGCATTGGTGACCTGGTTGAAATCTTTCACCACATTTTAACACAAATTATTCAATCTGCGATACTCCAGCAAATTGGTCTTGCTGGGAGGATTTGGCAGAACTTTTTGGTTTGTTTGAATAGCAACAAGTTTGTTAAAATTGGTTTGGGTGGGAATCTTAAGTTTTGTTTCTGTCGTTTGCTTTCAAAATCCATTGAAATCTCATATAATTTAGTCTGCCTGTAAGCCTCGGTTACCTCTTTAGGGTTGAGAGCTTTGACCATATGTTTCAATTCCTCCTTTAGTCCACTTATGAAAATGGACACAAAAAATTCCTCCCCCAAGGTTGGATTCTGTATTAGAATGAAAGGTTTCAGCTCTTCAAACCTCACTTGATATTCTTCCACCATTCCTTTTTGAATTAACTTACTAAATTATTCTATGACATCTGCATACTGCATATCACTAAGTTGATGACACAAGTCTGCTTCAAACTCATGCCAATGTACTCGATTTTTTTGCATGATATAACCATCAAACCATGATTCAGTTTTCCCTATAAATACATCGCAATTATCTCAACTCTTTATTCTTCAGGAATTCCAAAGAGATGAAAGAACTTATGACATTTTTGCACCCAACCCCTTAGATTCGTTCCATCAAAAATTTTTAGCTCTACTTTAGGCCTAGGAAGTATAAATCCAGTATTTCCTACTGCTCCTCCTTGAACTATTATAGCCCCATCATATTTGATTAATCCATTTGTGACTCATAGGGTTTAGATTTGAGGATGTCTGGTTTATCCGTGTTGTACGAGAATCTGGACTTATCATTAATCACTGTCACCATCACTGGTTTATTTTCTTCAACTTTAGTTAGAGTGGGTGTAGCAATCTGCTTCTTTTATGAGCTCGTCATATATTGCTCATCATTCCTCCCCGTTAATATTCGTAGGACTTGTTCTATATAGGCTTGATTGGTGTTCATCTTCGATTCCAGATTGTTTAAACGACTGTTTTTTCTCCTCCCACCACTTTGGAGGTTTCGTTTCATCACTGACTTGTTCTACTCATTTTGATAACTCTTCAATCTGCTGCTGAATGGCAGTAAGTTCAGTTGACCAGTAAGTTCAGTTGACTCTGCCATTACTCGATTCTTTTTCTGTTTTCCCAGTTTGCTAATGCCAGTAATTTAGGCTCTGATGTCAATTTGTTATGAAACGAGAAGAATGGAGAAGAAAATTTGAAGGAATGAAGGTTTTATAAGAAGAAAAACAGAGAGATTACAGAAATAATATTTTCATTCATTCATCAGGTAGATTCTTCTTCCCTAGTACACTTTTTTATTTTCATTACAATGTACTATGGCAAATAAGAAAAGGACGTTGTATAACTAACTCTCTAATAGACTCCTTGCAGATAAGCTAAATATTTTCCTCCTTTGGGCTGTTGACTGGATCCCTGCCTGAGCCCATCTCCTCTACCCAACTCATCTTCTGCTCCAACTCTAGGTAATTTCCTCTAGCCTTCTTATTAGGAATTGAAATCCATAATTCTCTGATCCCCTTTCTCTCAATATGTAATTCCTCATCCATTTCCCCTTATTCTCTCGCTTCAATTCTAATCTCCCCGTCTTGTTCTTCTCTTTCATTCGTGACATCAGCAGCTTCTCCAATTGGTCCACCACCACTACAAAGGCCACGAAATAATATCTTGTTTGTGACGACATCAGGAGGGTCACACTTCTCCAACATCTCTCTGTAAAGCCTCATAGCTTCATTACCTCTCTTTCTTCTAAATTGTGTTTGAATAACTGGGTTATAAGCATGTGGAGTCAACCATCCATTTCATCTGAATTGTTCTAAGTAGTCTACTTGCAACCTCGACTCTACATGCCTTACAAAGGCCCCAATCAGGGTTTCGTATGTTACAATGTCTGGTTCACACCCGTTTGAAGTCATGGTTTGGACAATATCCGCCGACTTTTTAATATCATCAGACCTGTAAAAGTATGTAAGCAAAGAATTGTATGTGAATTTATCAGGCTTCAAGCCTTCTATTAGCATTTGGTCCATAAGCTGAGCAGCCTCTTCTACCCTCTTATTTTTGAAAAGATCGTCGATGAGGGTGTTATATGTCACGAAATTTCTTGAAACCCCTTGAATTTCCATCTCATCAAAGATATCCTCTGCTTCTCGGACCCTCTTATTTTTGCATAACCCATCGATCAATGTATTATAAGTAATAACATTCCAAGCACAGCCACTCGATTTCATTTCTTCCAGCAGACGTAAAGCTTCTTCTAGATTCTCTCTGCAACAAAAGCTATCAATCAACATGTTGTAGGTAAATTCATCGGGTTTGCACCCATTATTTTTCATCTCCTCAAACAATTCCACAACAATACTATGATTTCTTGTCAGGCACAGACCTTGAATCAAAGAATTAAATGTGCAAACATCAGGTAAAACCCCCTTACTCGTAAGTACACGAGCAAGCTCGGTGGCCTCTTCAATTTGGTTCTCCTTACACAAGGTGCTAATTAAAGTATTATTTGTAACAATGTTGGGCGAACAATCCCTCGAAACCATTTGGTCTAAAACCTCCACTGCCTCCTTGATCTCACTAATTTTACACAATCCCGAAATCAAAGAGTTGTAAGTAAATATATCTAGATCAAACCCCTCACGAAGCATCACATCCATGATCTCCAAAGCATGTTTAACATAGCATGCATTACATAAACCATTCACCAACGTATTGAAGGTGAACTGATATGGGTAAAACCCGTCATTCGCCGTCATCTCTTGTATAAAATCCAAGGCTTCCTCCACCCTACCTTCCTTACAAAATCCAAGCACCAAAACATTCACGCACATTAGTAACCGGACAAATAGCATCCACCATTTGTTCTCTAACCCTCAATGCACCATCCATATTACCTTCATCAATAAACCCTTGAATAATCATGGTAAACGTTTTCTCATCAGGGGCTAAACAATAACCAAACATCTCTTCCATCATTAAAATGGCAGGCCTAATTTGATGTGCATTACACGAAGCCTTAATCAATATGTTAAAAGTGGACACATCAGGCTTAATCCCTCTACTAATTATCTCATTATGACTGCCATAACCTCTCTCTTTTTGACGAACCAACTCGAATTTACGACTCATTTGGAAAATTTTGAATTTTTGTGTTTATTTTGAAAACAATTGATTTGGAGTCGCCATCGACCTTTGTGTTAGGTAGATCGAATACTTAAAAACGTCTTTTAAAACAATTTTTTAAATTGTTTTTAAGACAAAAAATGGTTTGCGTTTATCAAAAACTCAACTTAACGGATCTGAGAGTTGGATACTCGTGGGGAAGGATAAACACCCCACAATGCTCAAAATTGATACTTAATTGCTTATATATTATCGTAAATGGTGGAAATTATAAATTCGAATATAAAAATTAAATTACGATCCATTTATTGAATATTGATTAATTTGTTCCGAAACAATTATTAGAGAAAATTCTTTAATTTTAGAAAAAATCACGAGATTTGCATTCCGACTACTAGGAATGATATCTCATCGATCTCCTCTCTATAGAAGAATGCCCCCTTCATTCATGGGGTTAAAATATAATAAAAAGAATTACAACATTAAAGCAAGTAAAATGTAAGTACTGAAATTAAATAAAGAAAATAAAAGGCATAAATTTAAAAGTGTATAAAATTAAATAAAAATGTAATAAAAATAAAATGTTAGTGTCAAACTTTATTATTTATCCCAGACCGTAAATAGTGTGAGTCGTACCCCGAGGCAGGTCCTAGCAAGGTCGTACATGGTTCGAACATAAAATAAAATAAATAAATAAAAGGTTAGCGGTTAGTGATTAGTAGTTAGAAAGGTTAGTAGTTAGTGGTTAACAGAGTCCGAACTATAATAATATGGATCGTACCCCAGATCGGGTCACCACATGCTCGAATCAAACATTCGAATATGAATGAAATTAAAACAGGGATCAAAATAAAATAAAATAAACAGTGAGCATATTATAAATAAAAACCAATGGCCATAATAAAAGAAAAATAAAACTACATCAGCTAATTTCAAAATAAAAAGTATAAATGATTAATTAAAATAAAACTAATGAAACTACAACATCATATTCAAAAATAATTAAAAAAACGAGGGATGAGTGACTATTTCGTAAAAAAGCCCCTCAATGTTAGGGACCTGAGAAGGATTAACCCTAAAACTTCTTAATAAACACATAACAAAGCAATAAGGTAAATTATCACGATCAGACCTTACATTCAAAATAAAATTCAGAATAATCCAAAATCAATGACAAAAATGCAAATACGCGACTAAAGTTGAGGGGTTATACATAAATTAATCCAACAAATCTAATATTAACTTAATATTTCAATAAAAAAAAACCTAAAAATTAACCTAAAACAGAACTAACCCTCCTCCATCCTTCATTTGCTCTCTCACATTTTCCATTTTCTCACCATACGGCGGTGGTCGACCACTCTCAAACCCCACCGAATAACACCGTCGGCTACCAATTTGGTGGCCATTTCGCTCCAATCTCCATTTAAAACGAAGCCAATACTCCTCCTTCCCCTCTTTTTACCTCCGACCGAAGCCGTGAGAACCAAACAAAGCCATAAATCGGCGTTTTCACTACGCTCCGACCACCACCATCCATGGTGGCCGTGCATCCTAAACGACACCACACCAACCCCCAAACTCTCTCATTTCTTCTTCTACTCCTAGAATCAAACCAAATGAAACAAAACCCCTTAAAAAATGAGCCTGACGACTTGTATTCTGGCCACCACGACGCAATCCCGTAGATAACCCTCCCCAAAAGGCCACCTAAACTCCAATGACGTCAGTATTACCATAGGTAACGACCAAAAACCTCTCCCTCTTTTCTGCTATAGTTTTATTCGAAAAAGTAAAAAAAGAATAATTGCTAAAAAACATTTTGATCTCCTTTCTGCTATTGTTATATTAATGGAGAAATGTGAAATTGATTACATTTTTTAGAAAAGAAAAAGATTCAAATGGTGGTTCCCTCTTTTTTCTTCGTTCCCTATTCATGTTTTTGTTGCATGCCTCTGATTTAAGGTTGATTTTTGGTGAGAATGATGAAATTTATACAATAGAGGAATGATTTCTTAGTTATTATCCCGGATTTAGCGGGATTTAGACAAATTTTTTAATGGGTTTCATATTTGGTTGGAATATTTTTATTGATTTGGCTTTATTTTGCACTGTTTGGCCTATGTTACCGACGGTGGCAGCATGGGATGTCATCGATGGTGGCCCGACATGACAGGAAGACGAATGGTCAGGCGCGTATACCACATGCGCTGGCAACGGACGATTCATCTTCTGCTAATGGCGGCAACAAGTAGCATTAGGGTGAAATGGAAACCCTACTCAAGTTTTGGGTTCTCATGCAAGGGTCTGAACCATTACGTTGGGCTTGGATCTCCATTGGGCCCAAATTTTGTAACCTGAAAATGATAATAATGAAATTAATATTAATAATAATAATAAAATAATTAAAACCCAGGAAAAAAATGAGTGTCTACAGTTACCCCTCTTTGCTCATTCCTGTGTTAACAAGAATAGGGCAAAGACAACAATACAACGAGTTTTTGTCATGTTCTCTCTTTTTGCTTTGAAATTTGATGGTGATTCTTATCTCAAGGGAGATATTTTCAACATTTTGTTTCAAAAGAAACAATCTCAAATGATACAATTGTTGTTTGTTGACGGTATTGTTTTTGGGGTAATTTTGATGTTAAAAATGACATTGCTCATTCACATTGAAGAGATCTGATTGCTTTCAGGTAAATTGTTTGTTGAAGATGACGTTGTTCCTTCTTGTTGAGGAAATCAAGTCAATCTGGAGATAATATGGTGTTGAACACAACTCTGCTCATCCATGTTGAAGAGTTCCGATTGTTTTCAGGTAAATTGTTTGCTGAAGATGACGATGTTCCTTCTCGTTGAGGAAATCAGGTCAATCTGATATAATTTGGTGTTGAAGACAACACTACTCATCCACGTTGAAGAGTTATGGCCGCTTTCATATGACATTGTTCATTCTCGTTGAGGAAATCGAGTCAATCCGGAGATGATATAGTGTTGAAGATGTTCTAGAAGTATTTGGGTAATTTGGAGACAACACAGTTCCTCCGTGTTGAGGAAGTCTGGTTATCTGAGGATGACACTGCTTCTTCGCATTGAAGAGATCTGGTCGGTGGACGACATTGTTCTTTTGTGTTGAGGACGTCTAGCTATTTTTGGATAATTTGGAGACAACATGGTTCCTTCTCGTTGAGGAAGTCTGATTATCTAAGGATGACACTGCTACTTTGCGTTAAGGAGATCTGGTCGATGGACGATATTTTTCCTTCGTGTTGAGGACATCTAGCCATTTTTGGATAGTTTGGAGATAACACGGTTCCTTTGCGTTGAGGAAGTCTGATTTTCTAAGGATGACACTACTCTTTCGCGTTGAGGAGATATAGTCAGTGGACGATATTGTTCCTTTTTGGTGGGGAAGTCTAGCTATATTTGAAGATAATTTGGAGACAACACGGTTCCTTCACATTGAGGAAGTCTGATTGTCTTAGGATGACACTGCTCCTTCGAGTTGAGGAGATCTGGTTGGTGGACGACATTGTTCCTTCTTAGTGAGGATGTCTAGCCGTATATGGAGATAATTTGGAGACAACATGGTTCCTTCGCGTTGAGGAAGTCTGATTGTCCGAGGATGAGATTACTCCTTCGCATTGAGGAGATCTGGTCGATGGACGACATTATTCCTTCTTGGTAAGTAAAACTAGTTGTTCTTGAAGGATTGTGAATCTAAAGATAATGTTGTTGCTTCTTGCTGAGTAAGTCTAATTTTCTGAAAATAGTTTGAGTTTGAAAATGACATTGCTCCTTCAAGCTGAGGAGAACTAATCATTGCTCGGTGCCCAATCTAATGATGACACTGCTCCTTCTCGTTGAGGAGATCTAGTCATAGTTGCCAATGATTAACTTAAAATGAAATCTTATTCTTCAACATGAAATTGTTAAACGAAGTCTTTGCTAACTTTGAATTCTTGTCAAATATTTAACATTTGAGTGAAAAAAATGAGTGGAAAGAAACTTGTTTCAAGAGAAGCTATCTCAGGTGAGATAAAATTTTGTTTCGATGGAAACAATTTCAAAATTTGCGTTTCAAGCAGTGACAGATGCACTAAGCCCTCAAAGGGGCCAAGTGCATCCCCATTATTTTGGAGAAGTGGTTAAATTTAGCTTAATGTGTTAAGGAAAAAAGAAAACAATCATAATTTTTGAATACCCATTATTTTTAAGAAAAGAAAATTATAATTTTGGACCACCATTCTTAAATTTCCGGATCCGCCACTAGTTTCAAGGGAAAATTATCTCTCTCGAGACGAAATTTTTTCTAAGGAAAAAATCTCAACTGAGATCAATTATGTTTCAAGTGAAACAATTTCAAAATTTATGTTTCGAAGGAAATCTGTTTCAAGCGAGACGAAAATTGTTTTAAGAGGAACAATCTCAAAGGCTTATGTTTCAAAAGAAAATGTCTCAAGCGAGATAAAATTTGTTTTTAGGAAAATAATCTCAAGTGAGATCAATTTTGTTTCAAGAAACACTGTCTCAAACGAGACGAAACTTTGTTTCGAGATAAACAATCTCAACGGTGATTCACAATCTGCACCTGCATTATTCATTCTCTCGAGAAATCTGAAAACTATAGCAT